ATTCAGGCAATATTCTACCAAAAATATTGTAACGCTCCCAAAATTATGCAATAAATACAACTCATAAGTGGAAGAATAATGGAAATAAGATACATTCATCCATCAGAGTTCAGAGTTCATTTGTAGAGGTTAACACATGCGATATACATTTATCAATGTTTATCCTGAATCTATAGCGCGTGTTACAATGTTGAGAGAAATGAAACTAAACATATAGTCAGATGCCTTACAGGCTTTCATCTTTTCAAGTCATTGCTTGGTTACACAAAAGTGAGCTTATCTCAATATAATTAAAGCCCTTGGCTATACAAAAGAATAAAAACAAAATAAAGAAGCTCTTGCTTCCCAAAAGTCCCTCTAAGCTATTGTCTTGGCGAAGGCATGTCACCAGCACCTGAAAATTGTTTTCCCAAATAAGGTGAGGCGAAGCCCAGTAGGAATAATCTAGCACAATATATGAGGTTTAATAAAGATATAAGTACAATGTGCATATACAATGCCTGTGACAAAACATTCACATTTTTAATAATCATAAAGTACTATGTTTATATCTTGGGCCGTGCTTCAGACCCCCAGTGACGTGGTGGCGTCGTCCCATTCTCTGAAAAAAAAAAATAGTTTTTTTTTTGGGCCAATCACCTTCCTACACACACGACCCCCAGTGACCCCCACTGGGGGTCTTAGGCATTTTTCTTATATCTTATTCCATTTTCCTGCAATTCGTTTCAATCCATGAGCCAATTTCATTATCTTTCAACAATCTAACTGAGACTACAACTTAGTGGTTATCTAATCAACACAATTACCACACAAACACTTCAATTTGTCATTTTACGAAAATTTCGTCTGCGGGATTAGCACCCATGTATACGCGCGGTTTCGGGATTTTCACCCAGGACACTTCGGCCAACTTAATTTCAATGGAGTCCATCCCCTATCTCCTCCTAAACATGGAGTGTATCCCCTTTCTCCTTCCAAACATTATACATATACAATGTATTTAAAGCATAGTCATATTTAATGACAATCAACAATAGATTAGTTTTAATTCACCTAATTCTCATACAATTTCTACAACAATCATAGTTATCCTCTACCGATAGCCCAATACAGTTATTTCTAAATAGATATTCAATCTCAAGACAGATAATTTATTCAAAACTTCCAAATGTGAGAGGTATTACATACTCAACTCCATCATCTATTTTAATATTTGCCTAATTTCATGTTTACAACACAAATTTCATTTATTTTATACAAAATAAATAGGGTGAATTACACTAATGGTCCCTATAGTTTGGGGCCTATGTTATTTTGGTCCCTGACTTTTCAATTGTGACACATTTGACCATGAATTTTGAATCTTGTTCCAAATAAGGATAATTGTAGATACTATTGGATTTTTCAAGGGCAAAATCGTCAATTTGATAAACTATAAATTAATTTGACAAAAATAAATGTCAAATTTTTTTTTTGAATTTTTAAAAATTATTTCTAGCTACTAAAGATAAAATTATATAAAATTGATAAATATTTTAGACATTTATTTTTTTTACCAAATTAATTTTTATTATGTTTGGGATGATGATCATGTAAAATTAATTTTTAAAAATTAATCATGTGATTTTTATTAATTTTTATCAATTTTACTTAATTTATTTTTGGTGGGTAGAAATAATTTTTAAAAAATTTTAAAATATTTTTTTTGACATTTATTTTTGTCAAATTAGTTTATATTTTATCAAATTGACGATTTTGCCATTGAAATTAAGTAATGGTACGTTCAATTGTCCTTATTTGCAACAAGATTCAAAATTTAGAGTCAAATGTGTCACAATTGAAAAGTTAGGGATTAAAGTGACACAAACCCTAAACTATAGGGACTATTAGTGTAATTTGCCCAAATAAATATTATAATCATTTTAGGGCAAACTTCCCTTTTTCAAATATCAACCCAAGGCCAAAATCAACTATAGTGTAGCCATAACACCTTATATTTAACCTCATAACCATTCCCACAACATACACTTAGAAACCCCTATTTTGATTTTATAACCCAAATCCTAGGTTTGTCCATAATATGCCCAAAGCCCATCATTGTTACACAATCATCAAATAACTAAGTTAAAAACCATATGAAAGTGTAGAAAATCCCTACCTCAAACTTAGAAGACCAAAGCAACAAAGGAGAAACTTCAAAGACGTCGAAATCAACTTCTACTCGGATCAAAATGGAGTTCTTGAGACGCTCTACCTTTTTCTCAAAGGCACTAGGGTGAAGATCCCAATGGATCTAGGTGAAATAGTAGAGAGAAGCTGGGTTTTAGAGAGAGAAACTCAAGATCTAGTTTTTTGGAAAGTTTTAGAGAGAGAGAGGAGTGAAAAAGTGATGAAAAAAAGTCATCCTCGCGATATGTTATACACGCAGTCCACTCGAGCGTGAAAAGTGACGCTCGAGCGTCAGACACAATGTTCCGCTCGAGCGCAAGAAGTGACGCTTGAGTGTAAAATACACTCTTCCAGCATTTACAAGTTTGTAAAAATACTGAGAGTTTGCAAATCTCGCTCGAGCTCAAGAATGGCCGCTCGAGCAGAGGAGAAAAATTGCAAAACCCGCTCCAGCGCAAGAATGGCCGCTTGAGTAGAGGAGCAAAAATCTGGGCAACATAGGTTTGGAAAATCAAGCAACCAACCTATTCCAAACATACAACTATAATCCAAATGACCAACCCAAGGAACAATAAGGGGAATAAGAGATGAACAACAACTTTAAACCATGAAACTCGAGTTTGGAACATAATAAAATGTCGGGTCAACACTGGAGTCACTATAAATATTGGCCTATTGTTGGTAAGCTGTGTGTGATTTTGTCAAACAATGCTTTCTTAATAAATCTATGCCTTATATGGTGAATGAGACTCTCATTGTGCTTATACCCAAGATTGAGAACCTTGAAAACATTAAGCAATTTAGGCCTATTAGTCTTTGCAATGTGACGTAGAAAACCATTTCGAAGTTGATCATAAGTAGAATTCGTACACTGTTTGACAATTTGATAAGCCCTAACCAATGCAGCTTTATTCCTAGGCGTAATACCACTGATAATATCATTCTAACACAAGAAATCCTTTATACTTCGATGCATGAAAAAGGTAAAAATGGAGGCATGCTATTTAAAATTGACTTGGAAAAAGCGTATGATAGACTCTCTTGGAACTTCATTAGAGATACTCTTCTTGAGTTTAATATGAATGAGGGTTGGATTGACCTTATTATGAGCTGTGTTTCCAATAACCAATCTAACATCCTTTGGAATGGGGAAGTGCTTGAAGGAATTAAGAATGAGAGAGGTCTAAGGCAAGGTGATCCTCTTTCTTCCTACCAATTTGTGCTGTGCATGGAGAGATTTTCCAACATGATTAATTCTAAAGTTGGTAGTAACAGCTGGAAGGGTATTAAGGCAGCTTGTTCTTGCCTACCCATCTCACATCTCTTTTTTGCAGATGATCTCATTTTGTTTGCCAGAGCTGACAAGAAAAATTGTGAAGTTATCATGGATATTCCATTTGAATTTTATGCTATCTCTGCCTAAAAAGTCAATTATTCTAAATCCAAACTTTTTGTGTCCCCTAATGTGCCTCGCAATAAAGCTCTATCCCTTAGCTTCCATAGTGGTATTCCTCTAACCCAAGACCTTGGAAAGTATTTGGGATCTCCTATGATTCATGGTAGAGTTAATAGAAACAAGTTTAGGGCTACTATGGAAAAACTGAAGAATAAACTCTCGGGTTGGAAGGCCAGGAACCTCACACTTGTTGACAGAACCACACTTATTTAGGCTGTAACCTCTGTGATCCCAAGTTACAATACGCAAACCATGGAGCTACCTCGAAGTTTGTGTGATGATATTGACAGGCTCAATAGGAACTTTCTTTAGGGAGAGACTGATAATACTAGAAGGGTTCATCTTGTCAACTGGGATACTGTTTGTAGGAGCAAAGCTGATGGAGGGCAGGGTAATAGAAAGGCAAGAGACAATAATGTTGCTCTCTTGACCAAACTTGGGTGGAAGCTGTTAACTGACAAAAATAAGCTTTGGTGCCAAGTGCTTCAATCCAAGTATTTGAGAAATGATAGCTTTTTACATTGGCCAATCAAATGTAATTTATCTCATATCTAGAAAAACAAATGCAAAAATAGAGAAGTTTTGAAGAAAGGAATCAAATGGAATGTTGGGAATGGAGAAAATATATCCTTATGGAATAACTGGTGGTGTGGAAGCCACCCTTTATCTGAAACCCATAATCCCCATCAGATTAATGGTCGTCTTAAGGTTAGCTCAATTCTTGATGAGGAAGGCAATTGGGATGTTTATGTTTTTGAAAGCCTTGTTAGTCCTCAGACCTTACAAGATATCCTTAAAATTTGTAGACCCCAGTTTGTCAGTTTTACTGATGCTCTTGTTTGGATTGGCTCCACTAGTGGTGCCTTCACAATTGCCTTTGCTTATAAGATTACCAATCAGGACACAACCAGCGAGGATTAGAAGTGGCTATGGAGAATGAAAGTCCCCCAGAAATTAAAAAGCTTTACATGGATCTTATTGAAGGGGAGACTGCTCACCAACCAAATGAGAGTTGTAAGAAATATGGCCACATCGAATCTATGTCCTAGATGTGGACTAGCCAGTGAAGATATGAATCATCTTATCTGTGACTGCAACTTCTCAAAGCTTTACTGAACTGAAATTAGAAACACCAACTGGTGGGAGGAGGGATGTGGACAACCCTTACTTGAATGGGTTATTTTCAATTTTGAAAAATAAAACTGTTGTTTTTGGAAAAAAATGGCATCTCATATTCATCCCTTTGGCAGATTTGGAAGGATAGAAACAAAATTGTTTTTAAAAATCAGTTTACTTTCATTCAAGTAAGTCTCAAGAACATAAGAAATTATGTTAATGAGATCGAGGAGGCCTACCAGTCTGCCCTCCACCCCAGCCCTCCTCATCCTAGACTAATACAATGGTTTTGCCCACCTGCAGGTAAATTGAAGCTGAATGTTGATGGCTGCTCTAAAGGGGATCCAGGACAAGTTGGACATGGAGGATTGCTAAGAGATGAAACAGGGACATGGATCTGGGGTTTCTATGGAAAACTGGGACACTGTTCTAGTCTTGAAGCTAAGTTGTGGGCTACTTACAAAGGCCTCACCATTCTCTTCCAAAAAAAGCACAAAGGATGTGGAGATTGAAGCAAACTCTGAGCTAGCCTTGAATCAAATCCAAGATGGCCCATGCATCAATTCACCCTACAAACCTATTATTGAGGATACAAAGTTGGTGCTCAACAGATGCAACTGCTCTCTGCAACACACACTCAGAGGCGTGACAAGAGTAAGAACACCATGATCGATCATTTGCTTTCCTTGCAAGAATCACAGCCAGAATATTATACAGATGACATCATCAAAGGACTAATCGCGGTTTGTGGACTCTCCTCTCTCTCTCTCTCTCTCTCTCTCTATAGCCCATCATACAATTTTTATGCTGCAATTCTGCAAATTAAAATCTCTATCACATGATTTTTCATAATAAAAAATTTGAGTTCATAAATTTATTCAGTTTCATTTTTATTTTCTTTTCCTTCCACAGAACCTTCCTCCAAATCTTTATTCAAACACAATTTGGTGGTGCACATAAATGTTGCATCAGCGGCATTATTAATTTCTGATTAAATTAAGAACCAAGTATTTCACAACGAACTGAAATATTTTTTTCATTTATATATACTACCCTATTACCCGTGCTATGCACGTGATAATTATAGATATTTATATTTGTTTTAGATTTTTTTTAATATATAAATTATGTTTCTTAAAATTTTTTATAAAAATAATTTAACAATCTTATCACTAACCATAGTGTATGAGAGAAGTTGAAAAGGGTACTGCAATAATTATACATGAGTTGTATCTATAATTATTTGTATGAGGAAATTTTAAATGCTGATCAGTAAATTTTGACCAAATCAATAAATGCAGCTATGTGGAAAGACATGTGGATTGAAAAAAGTTAATAAATGCTGATCAGAGGATTTTGACCAAATTAATAAATGCCGAGTTTTTTTTTTGAATAAAAAATTTAAAAAATTCAGATTGGGAGATTGGAGCTTCCATGCACGGATTGTATTTACAATTATATATATGTGAATTATCTATCACCCGTGCTATGCACGAAATAATTATAAATATTTATATTTGTTTTAGATTTTTTTTTAAAATGTGAATTATGTTTTCTAAGATTTTTTATAAAAATAATTTAACAACCTTATCACTAACCATAGTGTATGGGAAAAGTTGAAAAGAGTACTGCAGTAACTATGTACGGATTGTATCTATAATTATTTGTTTGAGAGGATTTTAAACACTGATCAAGGAATTTTGACCAAATCAATAAATGCAGGCATGTGGAAAGATACGTGGATTGAAAAAAATTAATAAATGCTGATCATGGGAGTTTGACCAAATCAATAAATGCTGAGGTTTTTTTTTTAAATTAAAAATTTTAAAAATTCAGATTTAGATATTGGATCTCCCACATGTCTTGGAGGTTAAAAACCCCATTTTGCTTAATATATAGTATAGATAGATTGTGATTTTTAAATGTTTTTATTTTATTTTATTTTAAATATTTTCTTTTTTTCCTTTTTTATATTATATTAAAGTTTAATATTTTAATAATAATCATATGTGTTGGAGGTTTTTAAGAAATTTTTTTTATGCTTGTTCTTAATACATTAAAGGGTTATCATGAGGGATAATAATTATATGTGTTGAGACTTTTCAAGGAATTCATATGTTGGATTTCAAAGAATTTTTTTTATACTTGTTCTTAAAGCATTAAAGTGTTATTATGAAGATGAGATTTGGGAGTTGAGAGAAGTTAATAAATGCTAAGATTTTTTTTTAAAATCAAAAAATCAAGAAATTTAGATTAGGAGATTGGAACTCCCATAAGCCTTGGGGTTGAAAACTCCCTTTTGCTTAATATATAACTAGCATATCACCCGTGCTATGCACGGATTGTGTTTACAATTATCTATATATGTAAATTGATATTTTTAAATGTCTTTTTTCAATAAATGCAGGCATGTGGAAAGAAAAAAGTTAATAAATGTTAATCAGGGAATTTTGACCAAATCAATAAATGTTGAGATTTTTTTTTAAATAAAAAATTTAGAAATTTCAGATTGGGATATTGAAGCTCCCATAGTCCTTGATAATAATCATATGTGTCGGACTTTTCAATAAATTTTTTTTATACTTGTTCTTAATGTATTAAAGTGTTATTATGAGGGATAATAATCATATGTGTTGAGACTTTTCAAGGAATTCATATGTGTTGGATTTCAAAGAATTTTTTTTATGCTTGATCTTAATACATTAAAGTGTTATTATGAGGATAAGACTTGAGAGTTTGGAGAAGTTAATAAATGCTAAGGTTTTTTTTTTTTTTTTAAATCAAGAAATTTAGATTGGGATATTATTGGTTAATTATGAAACATAAATCTTTTATTTTTTAACAAATTACAAATATACCATAAAATTTATTTAAAATATGAATTGGTCATATAATAGTAGAAATTACAACAATCGTTTGTGATAAATTTTAATTTAATACAATACTCAAGGAAAAGAAAGAAAGAAAGAAAGAAAGAAAAAAAAAATTATCCTATGCAATAATAAATTATCAAAATTGTTTATTCAAAAATATTTCTCATATCATAAAAAAATTATTAATTGACTTAATAATTTATTTATTAACAAAATGGTTAACTGAAATCTTTTTTCATATCATTAAAAATTATTAATTTACTTAATGATTTACTTATTATTTATGCTTGTTCTTAATGCATTAAAGTGTTATTATGAGGGATAATAATCATATGTGTTGGCACTTTTTAAGGAAATCATGTGTGTTTGATTTTAAAATTTTTTTTATGCTTGTTCTTAATGCATTAAAGTGTTATTATGAGGGTAAGACTTGGGGGTTGGGATTTCTTCTTTTTTTTTTTATATTATATTATATTAAAGTTTAATATTTTGATAATAATCATATGTGTTGGACTTTTTAAGAATTTTTTTATGCTTGTTCTTGATGCATTAAAGTATTATTATGAGGGATAATAATCATATGTGTTGGGACTTTTTAAGGAATTCATATGTGTTTGATTTAAAAAAAAAAAATTATGCTTGTTCTTAATGCATTAAAGTGTTATTATGAGGGTAAGACTTGGGGGTTGGGATTTCTTCTTTTTTTTTCTTTTTTATATTATATTAAAGTTTAATATTTTGATAATAATTCTATGTGTTAGACTTTTTAAGGAATTAAATGTCTTTTTTTTATATTATATTATATTAAAGTTTAATATTTTGATAATAATCATATGTGTTGGACTTTTTAAGAATTTTTTTTTATGTTTGTTCTTAATGCATTAAAGTGTCATTATGAGGGATAATAATCATATGTGTTAACACTTTTCAAGGAATTCATGTGTGTTTGATTTCAAAGAACTTTTTTATTCTTGTTCTTAATACATTAAAGTGTTATTATGAGGATAAGATTTAGGGGTTGGGAGAAGTTAATATATGCTAAGTTTTTTTTTTTTAAAATCAAAAAGTCAAGAAATTTAGATTGGGAGATTGGAGCTCTCACAAGACTTGGGGTTAAAAACCCCATTTTGCTTAATATATAGTATAGATTTTATAGATATGCGAATTGTGATTTTTTAAATGTCATTTTTTTTAAATGTCTTATTTTTTATATTATATTAAAATTTAATATTTTGATAATAGTCATATATGTTGGACCTTTCAAGGAATTAAATGTCTTCTTTTTTTATATTATATTAAAGTTTAATATTTTGATAATGATCATATGTGTTGGATTTTTTAAAGAATTTTTTTTATGCTTGTTTTTTATTCATTAAAGTGTTATTATGAGGGATAATAATTATATGTGTTGGGACTTTTCAAGGAGTTCATATTAATCTGATAATAATCATATGTGTTGGACTTTTTAAGAATTTTTTTTTATGCTTGTTTTTAATGCATTAAAGTGTATTATGAGGGATAATAATCATATGTGTTGGCACTTTTTAAGGAATTCATGTGTGTTTGATTTTAAAATTTTTTTTATGCTTGTTCTTAATGCATTAAAGTGTTATTATGAGAGTAAGACTTGGGGGTTGGGAGAAGTTAATAAATGTTAAGTTTTTTTTTTTTAATCAAAAAATCAAGAAATTTAGATTGGGAGATTGGAACTCTCACAAGACTTGTGGTTAAAAACTCCATTTTGCTTAATATATAGTATAGATAGCAATTAATATTCATAAATAATTATTAAAAAGGATATATGTTAGGGGATGGCTTTCATTGATTTTTTATTTTTTCATTTTTTTTAAGTAGATTGGCACTATAAAAATATGTTTGCAGCTAGAACTCATTGTATTAAAAATAATAATGTATTTTTATTTATTTATTTATTTTTTTTTTTGTAGATATGAAATATTTTTCATACTCCTATAATATTTATTGTGTATATAAACATAATAGGCTAAACAAATGGTAAATTCATCTCCTATTGTCTCATACTTTTGTGAGTAATGATTTGTAAATAAAAAGAAAAAATATATATATATATATATATATAAATTACATACAAAGAAGATAGTAGAATAGAGGTCAGACACTTTAAAACAAAATACCTTTTATTACAAAAATGTACCGGTTATGTAAAAATATAATTTACATTTTTAGTTTAATTTATTAACTTTTAATGTCCAGGTCATGATATTAGCAGGCACTGATACTTCAGCAGTGACAATGGAATGGGCAATGTCCCTTCTAGTAAACCATCCAGAAGTGTTGAAGAAGGCGAGAGCCGAGATAGACACTCATGTGGGCCAAGATCGCTTGATTGATGAACACGATCTCTCAAAGCTACATTACCTTCAAGCTATTATCTCTGAGACCTTTCGATTGTTCCCAACAGCACCGTTCTTGGTACCACATGTATCATCGGGTGATTGCATTATAGGGGGATTCAACGTGCCATGTGGTACATTGTTATTGGTTAATGCATGGGCTATTCACCGGGGCCCTAAGGTTTGGGATGATCCTACAAGCTTTAAGCCTGAGAGATTCGAAGGTGGAGAAGTGAAAGGACACAAGTTGATGCCATTTGGGATGGGAAGGAGGGCTTGCCCTGGGTCTGGTCTAGCACAACGTGTCGTGGGTTTAGCTTTGGGGTCATTGATTCAATGCTTTGAATGGAAAAGAGTTACTAAGGAGGCAGTTGATCTAACAGAAGGAAAAGGACTTACCATGCCTAAAGCTGAGCTATTAGAAGTTATGTGCAAAGCACGTTACATAGTCATGAATAACGTTTTCTTTGAAGCCACAAACGTTGTTTGAGCATTTTTTCTAAAAAATATGTCGACATGTTCTCACGTGTTGATAGTACCTTAGTTGATTGTGTGCTATTTTTATTTTGTTTTTCGTGTTGTTTGTGATTTATATAAGTTCAAATATATGTTGTACGTGAGATTGAATTTATAAATATGTTAAAGAAAAAATTATAACTAAATAAGAAATAGATTTTATTACAAATTAGTAGATACATATTTTGAAAATATCCTCCCACATAAAATTGGCAAAATTAATTTCTTTTCGAAACGACGTAATCATGATCTCAAATTTACAACTTTCAATTGGGGGATCATTTATAGTGATCATTGAAAGGTATAGAAACTCGATGACCTGGTCAACTGATTATTCCTGTAGATGTGGGGTCCAAATTAATTACTAGCAACAACAAACATTAACATTTTCTGAAAAGATTAATAGAAGGAAATAATGATAAGGAATAGATGCATAATTACTAGATCTACCCCAAACAATACATAACAAATCAGGGCCAAACATACCCTCTCTCTCTCTCTATTATTTCTTTGGGGTTCTCTAGAACACTTTAATTACTGGATATTATGATATCATCTACTTCTCTACAAATCAAATCCAATCATTACATACACTTGTTCTCTCTGACTAGTTTATTTGTTATATTTATACGCACATATATATACATAAATATATATTGTACTCTGTTTTTGCTTTGTTCATGGCTGCTACTAATAAAGCTCAAATCCTTCACAACCATGAGAACAATCCTAATGCGACTACTAACCAATTTGAAGCCAAAAACTGATCATTCAACAAATCTGAATTGTGCTAGTATAAAAAGTCAGTCATGAAAAAAATATGAAATGATCCGATCTTTATGTGAAAATACAAAATAAAACTAACAAGACACATTTATCCAGATTTGAGATTAAAAAACATTACCAGAAAATAAAAATCAAATCAAGAAAGATCTGACCTTTAGATATAATCAATCAACAATCTATACCATAATAATATATAATAATGTTTGTCTATACCATTGAATGTCCTGAAAGGATAGCAAATTAGTAATTAATTAACTTGATGATTTTTTTGCAACAAGATACTGATCACTAAGCACAAAGTGTTACACAAAATGGTAAATTTTGGATGTTGATGATTTTCCTTATGATTAAAAAAAAAAAACAGATTGAATTTTTTTTTTTTAAGTAAAAGTTTTCACAACATACTAATGCATGTCGTGAAAAGTTATAATATTTTATGATATGAAATATATCTTAAGTGTAAATAATTTATGACATATTTTTATATGCCGTGAAAATATATATTTTTTTACGACATACTATTGACACCGCATTTTATTTTTCTGTCGATTATGACTTGTTGATTATGGGCAAGTTCGATTATGATCTGTCGATTAAGACCATAGACTATTTTTAAGAATAACCTTGGTCATATTTATTATTAGTATTATTCTTATCGACAAATATGTTAATATGACGTGACAAGTATGCTAGTAACGTGGCATGAAAGAGATGATGATGTAACATGAAAAAATTAAATAAAAGCTAGTAAAGATATTTGTTAAAATCAATTAGAAATCATATACTAAAATCGGGGGACCAATATCAAGTCAAAGCGCAACATCTACAAGTAATTCCTATGGAATGGGATATGGTTGAGTGGAACAAAGATTAAGGAAGATCATGGATTGATGGCTACAACATGAGATGGCCAAACAAGTATAAAAGGAAGACTTGAGGAATGAAGGGATCAATCATCAACAACCATTCACAAAATGTGATATTAATCTAGGAGTAGTTTAATTTAGAAGTTATTAGGAATAGATTAAGTGATCGTTTTTCAATCCCCATTTCTTTCCGCTGTCAATTACTGTATTTGTTCTTTTCTTTATTACTGTTTAAGTTTTTATAATTGGTGGCAAGTGACAATCTAATTGAATAAATACATATTCTATTCTGCTTTGTTTCTTTTTTATTTATTTACCCTTAAGGAAGTTTTTAGTCTGTTTAATGCATAGAATTCAACCATAAAACCTGATTTTTATTTGTGTACATTTAAAATTTATTTAAGCTTGTCGATCAATCATTGTCAATTGGGCTTAAACCAAATTTTTGCTAACACATACTTTTGTATGTCATAAAAAAATCAAAATAATTTTTTTTTTCCAGTAGAAGTTTTCACTACATGCTAATGCATACCATGTAAAATTATAAAATTTTATGATATGAAATATATGTCCTCATAGTGCAAATATTTTACGACATATTTTTGTAAGTTGTGAAAATATACATTTTTTTCCAGCATACTTTTGCATGCCATAAACATATAAATTAACAACTTTCCAGGCACGTATACTATTATTGAAAAAGCATTAACGGCTTTAAAAAAAAATGTTATGGAATGTGCTAACTGCAAACAACTAAAGAAGTGAGTTAAACAAATTAATGCACCCTTTGGGCGACTAATATGTTAGTCGCTAATGTGAGTCATCAGTGACTAGGACTCTTTTCGTTGCTAATAGCTATTACTTTTGCCTACTAACGTGTTTGTCAGAAATTTTGTAGCACTTTTGGCGACTAAATGTTCTTTAGTCGCTAATAGCTTTGACGACGATGTATCCCCGACAAAGCCAGCGACCAAAATTCTTGGTCGGCAAAGTCTTTTGGCGACTAAAATCAGTACTTTTGGCGACTAATATTTTAGTCGCCAAAAATGTATTTTCTTGTAGTGGCATTAGATGCATACCTTAAATATGATAGTCGTAAATAATTAGTTTTGTTGTAGTATATGCAGATGTCAATATAAAATTTGTAAGTATATTTGAAACCTCTCAAACTAATATTAAACACGCGAATTCTTATATTTTTTTTAGATAAAATTGTTATTTCCCTAATCTATCTTTTTTATATCTCTTCCTTTTGCAATTCTCATACTTAAAGGAGTAACCGAACTTCATTTTATTTTTAGATAAATTACACAAATCTCTTGTGAAGTTTTAATAAAATATAATAATTTTACAATTTTAGTATTGTGGAGGGGTAAAAACATTGGCCTAAAGACCAGACATATTAGCCCAAGATCCAAAAGTCAAGTCCAGCCAGCAACCTGAAATCAAGAAAGGCCCAAACTGTCATGACCCGAACCTGCCCCTATAGGTTAGGATCATAACCGGCCAATAATCGTTAGATTACCTACGGCCTCAGACAGAAAACAAATTTTAAATAATCATACGGAGCCAAAAGCGGAAGCAAAAGATAATAATTGTCCAATGAGTTTGTGCATACATGGAATGAACAAAAACATTTCTTATGTTAATAAATCACACCAAACATACCCACATAAAAGACATTCTATGTCTAGATCCATGTAATACTATATTTCTACAAAACTATAGCTTATATACAGATAAAGTCAAACATGACCATCAAAAGAAGACAAAAGGGTCAAAATGAAAGTTCTGAAAGTAAGGCCTCGTTCGTGAGGCGTGTCATGGTTGACTTCACAAACTTGACATTCTTTCTTGGGTTCATTACGGTTGGGGTTGGGCATCCTACTGCTCACCTACATAGATGTATACAAAGAGTGAGTGAAAGCCCAGTAAATAATACCATAGTAAAGAAGTTATACGAATGGGATTCATATTTAGTACATCGAACCCGTAAATTTCATATACAAACGGCCTTAGGCCTATTCTGTGTTTTCTTGTATATGTCAAACGGCCTCGGGCCCAATTTAGATCCATATCAAACATATCAAACGGCCTCGGGCCCATTGCATCAAATATGTCAGATGGCCTCTGGCCCATTGCATAACTTTGTCGGACTTATCAAATGGCTTCGGGCCCATTATTTTCATATTCGTATCTATGCGCATTTTGTATTCATGATCATGATCATTTTTCATTCAAACGGCCTTTGGCCCATTATTTCCATATTCGTACCTATGTGCATTTCATATTTATGATCATGATCACTTTTCATCCAAACGGTCTTTGGTCCATCGAGATATTCAAATGACATTTGGCCCATCAAAATATTCAAACGGCCTTGGGCCCACCAAAATATTCAAATGGCCTTTGGCCCAATAAAATATTCAAACGGCCTTTGGCCTATCAAAATATTTAAACAGACTTTGGCCCATCAAAATATTCAAACGGCTTTTGGCCCAATAAAATATTCAAACGGTCTTTGGCCCATCAAAATATTCAAACGGCCTTTGGCCCATCAAAATATTCAAACGGCCTTTGACTCATTAAAATATTTAAACGGCCTTTGGCTCAATAAATTATTAAAAACGCCTTTGGCCCATCAAAATATTCAAATAGCGTTTGGCCCATTAAAATATTCAAATGGCCTTTGGCCTAATAAAATATTCAAACGTTTCAAATGGAAAACGGCCTTAGGCCCAATCCATACTATTATTAGACGTATCAAACGAATAAAATGCTCATTCATAATTCAAATTCACAAGTCCAGAAAACTTACACATGAGTAGCATTTAGAAAATAATATACATGAAAATATCTTTACTAAGATATTACTCACAGCATTCCAATGCTCGATTCGTCTTTGCACTTGACCCTACACAATTCGTAATACACATAGAAATTGGGTCGCAATACAATTCATTCTGTTCTTTAATTTGTTTAACTCTCTTAGGCTCTTGCCAACTCTATAGTTCATTTATGATGCTCAGTACATGCCTAAGAATGCTTAGAAGTGAAAGAGAACGGAAATCGAAATATGAACTAACTTTTCAAAATTTTCTGAAAATAGGATACTCTGCTCGAGTGTAGCTTTAGTCGCTCAAGCAGACTGCAAAATTTACAAAATTTCTAGAAGCTTGATTTCTCTGCTCGAGCGACACTTTCCTCACTTGAGCGGACAGGTCAAATTCTGGAATTTCCAAAATTCTATTTGAAGCTCAAAACACATTTCCAAGGCTCCAAATTTCATGCATGACACTCCCAAAAACATATATAAAGTCATTTCTAACTCTTAACTCAAATCTCCATGAATTTAACGATTGTAATACTTTTCTTCCTTTCTTACAAAACATAAAATTAAGCTACAAGCTCTTAGAAAAATATTTGCAAGTATGAAATTCAAATTAAAATCAAGTCAATTCTTGATCATCAAATTTTAAATCATAATTAATTTTTTGATTTATCCAAATTAATTTTCTTCATATCAAACCCAATTTCAAACTCATAAATTCTAAAATATGAATTAAACTTTTAAACTATAATTTCAAAACTTAGGTTTATACATGGCTTGTCTAAAAAAAACACACAAACTCTTAAATAATCAAGAAATCCTTTACATCAAAACTCCCAAGATTACAAAAATCAAACTCAACATAATTAATCCCCAATTTAACTTTCATAAATTTAAACCGAACTCCATTTCTTTATCATCTTGCTAATTTCTTTTTAATTACATGAAATTCAACCCAATCATCTCTTAATTTCAGCTTGTAGGTAATTTATCTACAAAGTTTAAGTCTCAATTTCTTACCTTAAGTCTTCAATTTGATGAATCCCTACACAAATTCTTGAGCCTCCTCTCCTTTCCTCGCTTGGGTGTCTTGGGTTTACATCTTCAAGGCTCCTCCAACACAAATATAACTTCAGCCCCTTCTCTCTCTCTCTCTCTCTCTCTCTCTCTCTCTCTCTGCTCTTATTTCCCCTCTCTCTCCGTTCCTCTCTCTCTATTCTTCTAACTTCTAACTCTCTGTTTTTGTTTCCAACTCATGAAAAAAAACAATTAACATAAGGCTTCCAACACAAAATAAGATAGACATCTTTTATGAAGCCACCAGCTAGAACTCACACGTGCACCCACACACACAAGGCTCCACGTACTTCTTTCTCAATTAAATAAATGAATAGAATTAGCTTTACTATTAATTATACATTAGCTTAAATAAATATCACTTAGTCTTGATTAATCATAATTAGCACATAACGTAATTAATCAAAACTAATTACAATTCTCACATAATTTAATTAGTCTAATTTAACTTCCATTAAGGCCCAATTAATTATATGTAATTTTTACCAATTTGAATCAGATTTTTAATCAAACTCCTAAAATATTCCAAATATCGAATTAAACCTATTTCCATCAATAAATTACACATTCAAATTGGATAATTCATAATTAAATTTAATTCAAAATAATCACAATTACTAATTCTTATAACCAAATTGGCTCAATTAATTCTAATTCAATTTTACTAAACTGAATTGAATATTTAATTAAACTCTCATATGGTCCAACACTTGAAATTAATCTGATTCAGTTCATCAATTTCACCTCCTCAAGCCATTTAGGCTCCCAAATTCTAATTCCAAAATAAATTCTTAATTAAATCATATATGAATTAGATTGAATAATTCTCATGAATTCCCAAATTAAATCAGAATAAGAACTAATTAAAATCGAAATCTCTTTAATTAATTAAATGTAAAATATTACACGTGATGGGGTCGTCACACAAACCATTGATAGGTTTGACGGAGGAGGGGACAGTGTCACATGACTAAAGCCTGAGCAAAATCGTTTTCCCTTTTTTTTTTTTTTTTTTGAGAATCTTGGCTTCAACAGTTTAGTTTTTCTGTATATGTTAGATGTTATTATGAGTTACACTGTGCTATTATAGTGGACAATTAACTAATATGGAGATTGCACTTTATACCGAGGGTACTAATGATGTGTTTACTAGCATGCACAAGTACATGGGACTTTACTTTTGTATTAACTGAATTGTAGTTTTGACTCAATAGATTTTTTCATGCTTGTCCACTGTGCCTTCAATAACCCATCATGTCTTAATATCACACTGTAGCGGCACATAAGTGGATTGTTAGGTGGAGTAGTATGATTAATTATTGTTGAGCGAATATGAATATATTGATGTTTGTGGGTATCATTTCTGAAAACCCTCATGAGACTTTACTCGTCCACTTGGGATAACCTTGTGGTTTAAAGGTTTGTTGCATATGATAAATGCAATCGTGATCCTACGAAAGTGGCTTAGAGTTATTTTACTTTTCTTATTTCTTTTGTTTTACTTGAGGACAAGCAAAATGTAAGTTGGGGGATGTGATGTAGGCCAAAAAATACCACATTGAGGCTACTTAAGTTACATTTTTAGTCTTTTAATTTTGTTTATTTGGTGGAGATGATATGTTTCGTGCAATAGTACAAATTTGGTAGGAAATACGTAATCTCAATAAAAAAGGGCGCGAAAGTAGATCCTCCTTGCGGGAAGTGAAAAATCCGAGCGAGCAGACCACCGCACGTTCGGCCAAGCTTCACCGTACGTGCGGCCCATCACCGCTCGAGCAGCCCACCTAGGGACGCGTGCACAGAATTTTGGGTGTGTTTTGCTGAGAATAAAAGGGAAAAAAAATAGGCTAACCTAGGGTTTGAAAAATTATTCTGAAGAGAAGGGAGAATAGGGTTTTAAAAAGGTGATTTTCTTCTCAAGCTTAAAAGAGACTTCCATGGGGGTTTCTTCTTCATCCTCTTCCTTTTCTCACTCCTCCATGAGTGGCTAGATTATTCTTTTCTAGGGTTTTGATGAAACCCTAGCCATGTAATTGGATTTTTCATCTGCTTTGATTGTGATTTGGTTTGAATCAATGTATGGATGTTTTAGAAGCTTATAATAATTATTCTTTTCATCTCTTCAAGTATTTTACTTTATGTGATTGTTTAATACTTTCCATACATTAGTTTTCTTTGTGTTTATGTTCAAAGTACGAGACGAGTCATGCTACAAGAGATGGGTTATGCTGCTACCGTAGTTTAGAGCAAACGTCTCGTGTTACTCGGGTTGACTCGTGCCTGTACATTGAATGCAACAACCCTCTTGATCAATATTTCAAACTTGTAGTTGTAAAATATTGGGTATTTCAAACCGGATTGCAATTGATAGCCAATGTTTAATCTCGTTTATATGGTTAGTGGTGAATTCTTTGCTTTAGGATTTTTCTCAAAAATTAATATTTCAAACCTTAATTTTAATTGTTAATTTATTTTCTCAATTTCATTTAATTCCTATTTAGTCATAAAAATCTCTTAATCTTTTTAATCAAAATTAATTTAGGAATTTAGCGATTGAATTAGCCTAATTTCACATTTGTTCCTGTAGATCGATACCTGGACTTGCCATTATTTTAAAAGAATTTGGTATAATTTAATCTTTATTTTTAGTGTGTGTAATGACCCATCACCTATCCGGTTGTGAAATCATGGTTCTGTTCCTAAGCGGTGTAAAAGGTAGTTTTGGTTACCTTGATCCTGAATATTTTAGATGCCTACAGTTAACGCAAAAATCCAATGTTTACTCATTCGTGGTAGTTCTCCTAGAAGTGCTTTGTGCAAGACCAGCCATCAATAACTCGTTTCTCGAGAAGGAAGTAAACTTAGCTGAATGGGGGTTGTTTTGGCAAAAGAAAGGGCAGGTTGAAAATACTGTTGATCCTTTGCTTGTGTGCAAGATCAGTCCCAATTCGTTGAGAATGTTTAGTGAAACGGTGGAGAAGTGTTTGAAAGAATATGGTGTTAAAAGGTCCAACATGAATGCCATCGCGTGGGACGTGGAATACGCACAGCAGCTTCAACAAAATTGCAAGGCACAAAAACCTCATGAGGACAGCACAATAAACGCATCGTGGGTGTTGCTGGTGCCTGCTGGTTGCCTTCTCATAGCATCCCAATTGATGAATATGACAATCCCATGGATGATTTTATAGATACAAGTCATTCAAATGCGCACGGAGTGCTCTCTGTTAGTGTATAATTGTTAATAGCTGTTATAGCATCATAGCTTAGCATTATAGCACATCATTATAGCTTTAGCACTTTATCTTTTATGTTGTAAATTCTTTATGCTTTTGGTGGGCATCCAATGCATCATATTCTCTCTATAAAGAGAGTGCATTCTCTTTGTAATAAACACACACAATTACAGACAAACATTCAGTGTCTCTCTCTCTCTCTATCCTCTCTCACTCTTTCAAACTATTGTTTCATGGTATCAGAGCCCAGTGTTACATTTCTGGCAATTTTCGATTTTGGTGTTTAGTCCCGTACACAGTGGCACTACATCAAACCGCTCGGAATTTCCCCATGATTCCAACGGCACCAAGCCCGTCCTCAGAAAACCTTCCATGCGCCCACACGTGCCGCCTTTGTCCTCTACACGTCACCACTTCCGCCACCACTCTCACACGCGCCTGCACGCGCCATCTGTTGTTGCTCACTTCCGCCACGCGCCCACATGCACCCACACGTCCGCGGCTGACGTTAGCCCTGCCGCTCCCGTACGCCGCGCCTGCTACTGTATGCCTCTCGTGCGCCGCTTCACTAGTGTGCACCTACGTGCGCCAAAACAGCTACCGTGCGCCGCGCCTGTGCCTGTCCGCTACCGTGCGCCGCCGCCTTCCTGCTAACGTGCTCCTCCCTGCACTCTGCTGACGTGCGCCGCTGACATCTTTGCTGACATCATCTCTGTCTAGCATACCTTTCCTTGCTATTTTCAACCTTCCGGACTTATTGGTACACTCTGTTTTACCTAATTTTGCTCCTACAGGTCTATTCCTATTGCTTTAACCCTATTCAACTTGTATTATGGATCGTCATGATGCCTCCCATCCCATTTCCGTTATTTTGAATGGTTACAACTATGTTCTGTGGGCCCAAGCCATGTCTTCCTTCCTCAAAGGAAAGAAGCTCTGGCGAATTATCACTGGGGATGTGACCTAACCAGTGAAGAACACTGCTGAAACTACTGTTTCCACTGCTACTATTACATATGAAGACCGACTTGAGGAATGGGACAATAAGAATTACCAAATCATTACCTGGTTTCGTAATACCTCTGTTACCTCTATCAGTCTTCAGTTTGGTTGCTTTCAGCTTGACTCTGTAACTACTCCTACAAAAGACATCTGGGATTTTTTGAAAGAACGATACCAGACTATTGGTCTTGCCCATCAATATCAACTTCAAAACCAACTTCACTGCATGCGCCAAGAATCCACTCAGTCCATTAATGACTTCCTTTCTCAAATGTACTCTGTTTGGGATCAGCTTGCTCTTTCAGAACCAACTTGGCATAACCACGAAGATGCTGTTTTATTTACTATCTATCGCAACCAGCAAAGGTTGGTGCACTTTCTCATGGCTCTTACTTCTTCTTTTGAGCCCGTACGTACCTCTCTGCATCATCGCCATCTATTGCCCACTCTTGAACAAGCTATTTCTGAGTTGCTATCCGAGGAGACTCGTCTCGGTACTCTTCAAACTCATCATGTGGACTCTGTTCTTGCCACTCCTCCGTACAGGCCATCATTTACCCAGTGGACCACTACTTGCCTCTATTGTCAGAATCGTGGCCTTCTTTCAACCCATCTCCTAGTCAATTACCCCGTCAGATCCTGCCGTTACTGCAACAAACTTGGTCCTGGTCATCTGTAACAGGATTGTTTTCGTAATCCATCCCGATCATCCTCCAATAGCCACTCCTCTCGCGGTGGCTTTTCCTGGGGAAGCTTTCATCGTTTCGGGAATCAGTCTCATCACACTGCTGCTGCTGCTTTCGAGAATCAGTCTCATCACACTGCTGCTGCTGCTTCCGGGAATCAGTCTCATCACACTGATGCTGCTGCCTCTGCGGGGTTCTCTGAGCCACCTGCTCCATCTACCCCTCGCTTTTCTCCGACGGATGTAGAGGCCATGCTCAAACAACTTCTCTCCCC